GGCAGAGGGGCTGTTCAGCATCACCTTGAACTACCACCACGACAAGTACGAGGTGCTGTACAAGACGGATGATGCCAAGATGTTCTGTGATGCGTGGGACCTTGCAACAGGCAGCACAGCAAACGAGTCGTGGGCAAACTGCAGCTTGTCCTTTGGCCCAACCGGGGATGACTACATCGCCTGGAAGATCAGCGTGGACCAGAACATCACCGAGGAGTTCACTCCGAAGGACAAGACACGCTACGGCTGGAGAGCCTGGACGAGCCTGTGGAATCCAGCCCCAGTTGACAGTCGCGAGTGCACGCCGATGCTCTACGGCCCGAAGGAGTATCTGGAGACGCTTGGCAACATCTCCCACTGTGCTGTTGACTATGTTGAGAATGCCGCGGCATGTGAATCTGATACCACATGCGAGTGGAAGGCCATGTTCGAGTCCGGCGTGTGCTTTCAGGACCCGAAGAGCGTCACCACGACGACAACAATGGCGGGAGTGACCTACAGCACCATCGAAGTCACGTTGCCGCTCACCGTGGACGATGCAGCTGCGATCCTGAACAATGCTACCGTGCAGGATGCCATGAAGCAAGGCTTTGCAACGGCGATGGAGGTGCCTGTGGAGGATGTGATGCTGGAGATTCAGGAAGCTCGGCGGTTGAGTGCTCACACGAGGAAGCTCCAGACCGAGCTGCTGGCCGTCTTCACTGTGACCATGCCCAGCCTTGAGGACGCCATCGTGAAGCAGGTGGAGATCGAGACGGTCTCCTTGGACGCCACCAACCAGGCCATCGCCAGTGCCGTCGCCAGCGCGGGCTTCTCGGGTGCCTTGGAGGTTACCGGCAAGATGACCATGCGAGTTCCGGCTCCGACCACGACCACCACGACCACCACGACAACGACCACAACGGCAGAGGCCGGCAACACCACCACTACCGAGGGCGGCGATGACGGCGATGCCGGAGACGACGGGGACGATGGTGACGATGGCGACGAGCAGCCGCCCAGCTCGGCAATCGCGGGCAGCGCGTCTGCGGCCGTGCTGGGACTTGCTTTCGCTCTCTTGGCCTGAGGTTAATTTGGTGCGGAATGCAAA